TAGATGCCAATGGAAATCAAACTCGATTTTAGAAGGCTAGTCCTAATTGGGCTAATATGAGGGCATCTATACTTAATTCTACATAGTAGGTTTTGTACGAATACTAGCGTTTTCACCAAGGGGGGTACAATATTTACCCCAGTAGCCATAGTATGTAAACAGACTCATTAGGTACTCCCTATCAAAATGGAGTGAGCCGGGTGAGCAACAGAGTGCAGGTGTTGGTGGTGTACGCCTCGCAACCCTCCCTCACCCAGCTACCAATGATCTGGGGGCTGCCTGCAGGTCAGAGGGGCTATCACAGGGTCATGGCCGGTCGCTTATGCCCCTGTCTAATACATTAACCACAAATGTTAGCCGGATTTGCAAGTAAATTACAGGAAAAAGGTATATGTGATATAAAAGGGATGAGTAAGAATAGATCATACCGAGTTAGTAAAGAACAACAGCGTCTGATAGCAGAACATAGTGAATAGTAATGGTGGCTGCCTCAGTTCTGGTGAAACGCACTCTAGGCACATGCTGCTAGTACTAGTACTATAATTAGTAAGCTATTAGTACATTGCTGGTGGCCTTGGCAACTTATGACATCTACAACAACCATATGAGTACCACCAACACCATAAAAGATCACAGAATCACACTTGAATCATAGATGCTTACAGAATATGAGTTGATAATCTAACAGTTACTGTCAGGATCACCATGTCAGAATCCCTGCGTACATGATACGTATCTGTTACGTATTAGCATGATGGTACAAGGGTCCCCGCATGCAAAACGCATGAAACGCTCTTGTAACTGTTACGCCCTGTTATTTATGGCAGTGAGCATTGCTATACGAATTGAACGCCAAATGCTGTTTCTGAGCTGTTACAGTAATGCGCTTCTATAGCTATTAGTATGAGCAAATGCTCCTCTTGATAGGAGTAACTCAATCAAGTGAATTGACACCTCTGTACGCTGTTTGCTACCATCCTCTAACACACCAGAGGTGTCACCTGTCAAGATTGTTCAAGTAGGTGACCCTGTGTTTTCGTACTTCAGCAGGCTAACTGTTACGTTGAACAACAACAGAGGGTTGGGTCTAGGACCAGGGCGTATCATACGTCAAATCACTCAGAAGATTCGTTGAGTATGAGAATATGAATTGACTACGGATGAAAGAGAGAACTATTGTTGCTATCCCCTCCGTCCCTGAACAGGGGTGTAGAATGGTCCAATTAGCGCTGTCGATCACTACGAAGGGCACAAAATATTAACAAACGTCTCTTTTGGGCGAATTGTGGCTATTCTATCTAGCAATTGACTCCAATTAAGTAGTGATATTGTTGCCAACAGCTTCCTTCGATACAGAGCCAAATTTGGCACTTGTTGCATTTGAAATAGGTCCTTGACCCACTAGAAATAGCCTCATTTGCGCCATTTACAGCTGTTTCTGTGATATTTGTTCCGAATTTGCGCTTGAGAGCCCTTTTGCGTATACAGCTAGGCTTATAAAGCTTTCCCTATTCGCACTGACCGTGAGTTTTCTCTCGCACGTGTTTATAGTGGCGTTAAGAGACTACTGTAGGTAAAGGCTAGGATTGTTCCTTCTCTTTCGGATCATTCGAATATAGTAATTAGTTGTATAGAGCGCTTATAAAGGTCCTATGTCACGTGTTACGTTGGAAGCAGGCGACGAGTGCGCGAGATCTTTAGCCCATGTTAAGTGCTATCCTAAGACTGGAGAGTCGACAGTGAGGGCCCTAAGGTCGCTTCTATATAACAAGCATGCCCCTTACTAACGTCTAGTGCCAATCAATACCTGGCGCCCTAGCGCTAGTAGGCGATAAGCATGACAGCTGTGACATCACCCCCCCTCTAGAAGACTCGACATGCCCTCATGTCTGATAAGAAGAAAAACAAAACAGCAGCAGCACACAGCAGCAGCACACAGCAAAACAAGCACAGCACAACAACACAGCACGCCGGCCTAATATATCCTCCTGCCACACAGTTACCAGTATCTAAAGAGAGAGATATAAATAGAAGAAGATCCACAGAATAACAAGGAAACACACGATCAAGTCAGCAGTGTTTGAGCTGGTAACAAGATCAAGCCGACAGCATTATAATGCGCATTGCCTTGTTTTCCTGGTTTCTTGAGTGGCTGCTCTATTGTTATCTGGGTGTTCTGAAGGTGACTTATCTTGTAGAGCGTTATTAAGCTAGTGCTAGAGTCGCTTAGGTGGACTAGCTTCTTGTGGGTACGTATTATAGTAAGCTTGTAACGCTAGAGGAGCGTTCTACAGATTACTAGCAAGGTATTATATATTATTAGGGTCCTATTCTTGCTATTATATCTTGTATTCTAGTCAACCTCTACTAATTCTTAATAACAGAATTCTTTTAACTTCTTATTTAAGATCTTTATTAACTTTAACTATAAGAGATAAAGTAAGGATCTAACTAGAAAGAGGATTATTATCTGCCTTATATAGCTAGTCTATATATAGTATTAGCAAGATATAATAAGAGGACAAGAGCTCTAGCTTATAAAAGTAGCTAATTATCTTTAAGATATAAAAGGGGCCTATAATGAATAGTCTAGCTTATCTAAGGGCTTATCTGTTCTTTATAGCTTCTTAATAATAAATATAAGGTCTCCTAATTAGAAATTAGGTAAGTAACGTTTCTTATTAGCTTAATAAGCATATTAAGCTTAAGCTAAAATTATATTTATTTTAGCCTAGCTTACTGCCTTATTAATATAGTGTAAATACTCCCTTACTTATTCTTAAGTAGCTTGTTCTTATGTATTCTAATATAAGCTATTACTTATCTATGTCTAGTTAAAATCTAAGCAAGGTTCTTAGCTATACTTAATTATATAAGGTATAAGTCCTATAGATTTATAGATTAGAGCTGACTCTGCAGCATCTAATACTAGTAAAAGATATATTTAGTTGTCTTAAAAGTAATTTACAAATAATTAAAGCCTTATATTAATAATCTGATTAATAATTTTTATTTAGTTATTTATTTAAGAGTAAGCTAA